GATGTCTGTCGGATATTTACAGATTTTTATCTGCGAAGGATCCTGAAAAATGTGTGTATGTGATCCCTCGGAGTTCCAGCTTCAGATCTCGTTGCATACTTGCTGCATTTTTGACGTATGGTTGCTTTAGATTCATGCATATACGTGACAGATGTCTGTCGGATATTTACAGATGTTTATCTGCGAAGGATCCTGAAGTATGCGATCCCTCGGAGTTCCAGCTTCAGATCCTTTTGCATACTTGCCGCATCTTTGGCGTATTACGTGGCAGATGTCAGTCGGATATTTAGATTTTTCATTTATGCAAATTTGGGAATCTGATATACTCTGCCTGTAAATACAGGTTTGGCATGTAGGTAAGCCTTCAAGTAAAATAACTATATCTTAACATGTTTCCAATGGTTAGTTGTTGTTTTTTTGTCTTGCACTCCATTTAGTTTTTATTTGTAATACGTGAAGTGCTTTATATAACTATTTAAATCTGCTATAGGCTACAAATAGTTGGCTTCTAAGATCTTTAACATTTTAAGATCACCCAGTTTTTTACATCAAAATTAATGAGTCTTTAATTTTGGTTTATGTACCATCATCATGATGTACAAATCACAAGCTGGACCAGTAAGCACATTACCATTTCAATAAGAACTATGAAAAATCAGTATAATAAACAGTTTATGAAGCAGTCTAGTAAATACACAGTGGTTTGTATCTTCATAACACATACTAATGCAAACATATCATAGACATGAAAACACTGACCATGACTTTCTTAAAGATTTTCTTTTTTTATTAAAACACACACACACACACAAAAAAAAAACCCTACGGTTTAATTTGTAAAAAATACAACCTACGGTTTCATTTGTAAAAAAAAATAGTTGTTGGTGCCTCTTGGAGGCTGCCTCAGGTTGCATTTCCCACTGGGCACTCTGCAATGTAGCCATCCATTCTGCAGGGCTTTGTTTGAAGCTCAGCAAGTTTGTACTGGCATCTGTCTAAAATGTCCTAGTTTTGCTGCTCTCCCATTCAGGTGGATAAACTTTCCATGTGTCTTTGTCTTCGTGTCGGTCTCGTACTCATAGGCATGTTGGCACCCCCTCATTCTTCATCATTTAAAATGGAGCGACCAACAGACTGCCGTGAATTCAAAAGCTTCAACAGAAAACACAGAAAACACAAGGTCAATAAGAGCACTTTTTAAAATGTAATCATAACAAAAAGCAAATGCATCCATATCTCAATTCTTAGATTCTCAAACAAAAAGTTTACGGATGTTCCAAAAACCTTTTTTTTAATCTTCCCATATTGAATATTTTTAGTAACTCATATCTACCAATAGATGGCGCTTTAACACATCTTTACACGAGGACCCAGAATTTAATTAAAAGTTTTACTTCTTCTGCATTGCCAGAAACTATAGTTTCACACATCTACAATGATGTAATGTGAGACTAAAGCAAATCAGATACATTTTGCATTCTAATTCTAATTCTGTTTCCTCTAGGATTTATTTTTTATTTTTAGCTAGTTTAGTTTTAGCTTAACCTCAGTGCTAACAATGGCTCTTGGCTTGGTAGCCATTGGGGGTCCTCCCCCAGAAAATTTTGAATAAAATAGATGCCATTTCCTGCATTCTGGTGTATTTAACATCTAGTTTTACCTACATATGTAAACTATTCAATAAGTATTTTAGAGTTAATGGCAGAACAAGAAGCACCCTGAGTCAAACATGCAGCATTAACACAGTGTGAACATTATTCAAGAATTGTTTCTATAAGAACATTATCAAATATTTTATGTGAACGTAAGATACTAGCAATAACAGCATTGTAAGAGGGGGACAGTTGAACCCGGAGGCCTCCACCTCTGTTTAATGATGGACGGTTTCTTTTCACAAAGATGGCCTCCTTTACTCCTCTCTCAGTCATCGTTCCTCTCTATCAAGGAGGAACGATGACTGAGTTTGTCTCAGCTCCTCAGACTGAAGAAATCTTTTTGATACAAAGAAGAATCTGTCCAGAGGAATTAATTTATTGAGCCTGCATCAGGACAATAATCTGTAAAGCTTTAGTATATTTGATAAGGAAAACTCATTTTGACTTAACCAATTAATATATTTTCAATGGCAAAATATGCAGGCTCATTTCATATTACTTTCATACTTTCATTGCAGGCTTTCTGTATTTATTGTCTTACTTTTAATGATAAAAATATAACGAGTCACTACTGTCGTTTAGAAAGTGTTTATATTGGAACTAATACTTGTTCACACACAGTTACAACAGCTCACCTGTTCCTTTATACTGACAGGAACAATCCCCTCATCACTACTGGCTCTGCTCCTGACACAATCACATTTTAAAAATTGTCATAACTCAGAACAAATCTCCCCTTTTTACAAAGCCTTATGATCAATTCAGGCCAGTTTCATTAAAGGGTTGAATCATTTAACATCTCAAGACACTTTTCATATACAGCAGGTCTTCACCAGACTCATACTCTTCATTATATAATTATAATAATATTCAGTCAATGAGTACTCTTACCTGCCCACTCTGTGCTGCGTGATGTGGAGCTGCATCTTGGGTGCTACAAGACAAAGATTCAGTTATGTGGCGTTGCATTATAATATTATTTAAATTATATAACAGTATGTTAAGTCACAATGCCACACACCAACAGTTCATTGACTTGATAACTTGAACGGTGTTTTGCAGGAAAATCCAGGAAAGTATTCTAAGTTGATTTGTAGTTCTAAACATATTTAGTGGTCATTTTTTGTCCAACATTGATTACTTCCAGCCTAGATCACAATTATATTAGAAAATATCCAAATATGTAACTTAGACAATGACATCATAAAACAGCTTTTAGAAAAGCAAATAGACACCTCTCACTGAGGAGTTGCCCAACAGTGGTCAGCAGCCACTGGTTATAGATGTCTCCCATTCCCCCTGTATGAGTGTCCATTTTATTCTGCTCAGTACAACTTTTCAAACAGCCTCAACTTGACGTGACGCTGACAACGCCATGTTGTAAAAGGTCGAGTAACACACCGGTAAAACTACATATTTTACGCTCTAACCACATGCTTGGTCAAAAATAATTAGAACTAAATATGTGAAGCAGCAACTTACTGAAAATCGTAGAGCCGCTTGGCTTTGAATCAAACACGTCGCGTTATCCGAGAAGGACCTCGTTTGTGTTATCCCGCCAATGTAATACCGGAAGTGTCTTCTTCTTCTTCAGTTAAACGGCTGTTGGAAAACGGTGCATTACCGCCACCAACCTGTAAGGAGTTTGGCGACGTGGACAATTTAATTTACAGTTAAGACTCAAAAGGGTTTACTTGTGTGTTTTATCTGTAAATTAAATTGTTTCATGGACTTTATTTTTTCATTTAAATAGCCTGCATCACACTTTCAAGAGACGTTTACCTAACAGAATAAATGAAAAGAAGAAAATGGACAACCATATGTTTATATTGTTGAGGTTTGTAAAGTCAGTAAAATTAAATATTTTATCATTATTGATGAAAAGTTGACATGAAAACCTCACATAAACTAAGAATAAAAAATAGCTAAATCTGTTGAATTGCTGTACAAAAAAAACAATATAGGATGTCACAGTGAGCTCATCCATGAAGTCATTTGCTAATCTGAAGAAGTTCCAATCTGTAGTTGTTC